CGACTACAGCATGAGGTGGAGGCAGAGCCAGTTGGGCCTTGGAGCCTGCCATCCTCTGATCACCGGAGTGGGTCTTTCCTGTCTGTAGTGGAATGGGTGGGAGAGGTGTCAGGAAGAGGGCTACTGGAGGCCTCGGAGGAGTCACTGGGTGTGGTCAAGGAATTATGGGACAGGAAAGTGAAAGAGGCTGCAGCTGACGGCCAAACCCAGGCAAGGTCGACTGCTGATGGGGAGGAACCTATTGGACAACCGAGTGCTAGTGACAGCAGCCGGCTCTCTGGGGAAAACAGCCTAGAGTTATGGTATATTTGCTACCCAAAGTGTAAATACCCTCACCATGACAGATTTTGTTATCCACCTGGCATCAGTGAACAAGGAGTGGGGAGGAGATGCCTATAACCGGCTCTCACAAGCCACACACAGCTGTGGGGGCACTCCAGTGAATTCTGAAGATGCTTGTCTTTGCTTTGGAGGTCCTGGTCTGCAACTGATGAGTTGGAGAACTCCTGCACAATCACAACTTGGTTGAGGCCGGGCATGGGTTTGGGGTCAGCTCTCAGAGCCCCAGAAAGAATACATTTTGCATGCCCACGCACTGCCTGTGGCCGTCGCCACAGCGGCTGCAAGTTCTGGCGTACTGCAAATGCAGCTTTCCAGCTCAGAGCCTGCACGCCTTTCCTCGGGACAGCGTGCTCGCAGCCACACATTTGTGTATCTCTCAGGGAGAGGAAAACACAGGCAGAGTTATTAGCAGGAGGTCAGCAGATCTAGGAGGCATGGGGGTTACTTCCAGCCTTTTCACTTTGGTGTCACTTAGCAAGATTCCAAATTTGCAGTTTGCTGTGGTCCATCTGAAAAATCATAACTTCCTGCTAAAATCAGAAGTTAGTGCTTGACATCCCTTCAAAAGAGATGTCAGCTCAGAGATTCTGTTGGGATGTCAAGATCATTTTTAACAGTGAATAAATAGGTTCATTGTGGAGTCCCATGAACAATGACTTCATGGGGCCATGTCAACTCCAGAGAGACAATGCAGGTCACCTCCTGCCCCCTTCTGTGGCAGCTTGGTTGCTCTCCTGCCTTGCGTTAGCTGCACAGAGTGGGGTCTGCAAAGGCCTCTGAGGCTGCAGCTCCAGGCAGGAGTCCTTTCCACAGCCCTACACATAATGCATTTTTTTTTTTTTCCTGAAAGACAACCTTCCAAATTAAATGCATTTTCGGCTCTACAAGTTCCTGTCCCCTCAAACCTTGGGCATCAATGAGTATCTCCAAGCCCCCGTTGTCTCTAAGTATTTTGAGATTAATTAGTGTGCACTTGAAATCAGGATATGTTTGGACCCAGAAAAGACTCTATGGAACAATTAAAATGATTACAAATGCTTTGATTTTATGGGCAATGAACAGAGCAAAGAACGGGGGATTCCCCCAGTGATTTCATTTTATCTGTGATGTCTGAAGTTCTGGTTTGCTGGGGAGGAGATTTTCCCTTGCTCATTTCACCTGGGCCAGAGATTGGAAGTTTTAAACCACTATCCAAAACATAACCATGCTCACTTTTGTGGGTTTTGCTCAGAAGCGCTCAACAGTTAGATTTCTGTGGGGCACCACATGGGTGGATATACTTTCCTTTGCCACCAGGGCAGAACAAAACCTTTGCAACGAGCTGGAGTGTGAGGTCAAATGCAGAACGTCCATTTCTGTCTCTGGCTCTTCTTCCTCTCTGTGGACACTCATACACCATCCTGGTCTTCCAGGCACTGTGGGGAAGACCATGAGCCATTCCAGGGAGCGAGGTGGGGGCATTCCTGAGGGAAGGGCACTGCTCCTTTTCAGAGCTGGTTGGAGGCAGATGCGAACTCTGACCCTGTCCACATGCCCCTCTCTGGCACAGAGCTGAGCAGAAGCTCGAGTGGGGTTCTTTTAGTCTCTCTCCTTCCTAGCTTCACTGGAAGACCTGACCCACAGTCAACCTACTTCTAATCCTGGCAGCGAGTCAGCTCCTTTTATTTCCACTCGGAGTTCTGCCAGCTCTGTTCTTAGCTATGGATACAAACTGCCCAGGCATTTCCTGTTCCAGGTGGTTTTGAGCAGAAAGCCAGCCAGCGTGGGCTGAAGGTAGGTGGGGTGAAATTCTTCAGGAATTGCTCTCAGCAAATGTGAGAGCAATTCAAAGTTACACTGGGTTGACTTCCAAAGCACCCAGTGCTGAGTGGAAACAAGGCCTTTTGGAACTAACTTTAGAAACATAATGAGTGTGGACCACCTTCAGGCTTGCCCATGTCCATCAGCCAGGCCCTGGAGTCCTGGGATTATGCCTTCTGGATAAGATAAGGCAGGAAGCTAGCTCCAGCCTCCCATGGAGGCCCAGTGCTTCTGGAGAACTGAGCAGTCACCCCGAGACGTTAAACCAATCTCCGTGGCATGCAGGTTTGTTCTGAAGAGCACACAACGTAGTGGTAACAACAGGCAGGTTTAACGTGGATTCTCCCGTGAAAAATCTCCATCCGGCAGTCTCTGGCCATGATTGGACAGAGTAATTCTGAGAGGCTCCATGAATTGCAGTGAACTCAGAGGAGCTGGGGAACCTGGATGAGACACCAAGCCCCTTGGAGCTTCAGCTTGCCCCTCTGTGAAGGAAGCAGAGCAATACCTTGCAGCCCATTTAGGGGGATTAGGGATCAGGTCTCTAAGGCACAGGCGAGCTCAGTGATTGGGAGCCACTATCGCAGATGCTATTGTTCTTTTTTTGTATACATGGCCCTCAGGCTTCAGGAGCTGAGGGACGATCACAAGAGCTCATTCTCCTGGGTGGCATCTGCTAGTTAGCACCTGCTGGCCCTAAAGTGAGTTTGAGTGAAAAGTCTGTTTGTACCATAGGAATCAGAAGTTGAGGAGCGATCCGAAGGATTCTAACATCCTCTGCCATTCTTAAATTGCCATGCAAAAGTGGAGATAAGGAAGACACTCCTATTGCCAGACACTTAGGGTTGAGCCAGGTGGAGAAGCCATGCTGGGAAATCTCAGAAGCCAGGGTCGGAAGCCAAGGGACTTACTCGCGGGGGCACCTTCTGGGGCTTGATGGAAGAACCACTAATTCGACCTCCAAGCTGAACTACCTCTTGGAATACCCAGACTGCGAATTTTGAATGAGGATGAAAGGTGACATCAGCCTCCCACGGGGGGCCTCCAGTACACTCAAATGCATGGGTTGAGAAGGGGAAGGGTAACTTTGTGGCATGATACCAGGTGGTGGGGCTTCCGATGCAAATGCTGGTGAGGCTGACCCGATGTCCTTTGATGGGCAGAAGGAGAGGGAGTAGGCTCTTTGTGAATTTAGTGAAAGGAGGCTGTCACTTTGAAGCTGCCAAAAGCAGCAAGAGGCCTTGTTTCAGAATGCATTTTTAAGTGTTGTTCTATTTGCAGAGTGACAGCTGGGACAGCTGGGGAGGAAAGTGCCAGGCAAGGCAGGGACACTGTCCATGCAGGGGAAGTGGGAAACCACAGGGCGGATGAAAATGCATATGGATGTCAACTCCAGGGATGGCAAGGTCTTACCCTGGCAGCAGAAGCACGAGCTGCCGTCACAGCCTCAAGGAGGCAGGGTGGATGGCAGGTGACCAAGCTGCGGAGGAGATGGCAGGGCAGCTTGGGACATGGGGGGATCCACAGAGTGTGGTGCCAGTGATAACCCATGTGGGTGCTTGGAAATGGGCACTCCTGCCTTCCCCAAGGCAGGTGTGCCGGGGGCATGTTAGCATCAAAGCATTCCCTAACTCTTTAATTAACAGGATTGTGGTCTTCATTGTAAACTTGCCTATTAGATATTTGTTTTGTGTCTGTCTCATTAGACTCTGAGTTTCTCAAGCAGAGACCATTTCACAGAAAGACTTGGACTTTTGCATAGTCTACAAAGGCAGGAATGTGGACAAAGATGTCATTTAAAAAAATGAGTAATAAAAATGGAAATAAAAGGGTTCCATGGGTAACTTCAATTTAGCTAAAATCATTTTTTGAAACTCGACAAGTCATGTCTTACTTTTTCTTTCTTCAGTCTCAATCAGCACTTTGCAACACAGGCTGAGAGGTGATGACATGAGGACAGCTCAGAGGAAGGGTACCTGAGGAAGATCAGCCACCTTGAGTTTAAGTTTAACCCAAGACAGGAACATGGGATTAAAGCTGGCAAAAGGACAGGGCCCACAACATGTTCCAAGCCAGGGAGGGAGGAGCAGAGGCAGCCTCTGTGCACCCTGCTGTCTCCACTTCTATGTCCAACTCAGAACTCCAACCACCCTGGGGCTCAAGTCCTGGGCTAACCTTTGCTGGGGTTGACGGGGAGGCTGGGAATTGGGCCAAGGATACTCTTGGAAGGTCTTCTCTGGCTAGGAAGGGACTTATCAGAATGGCTTTGCTCATGTATAGTTAGGAAAATCAGTCCAGAATAGAACCCAAGTCTATGGAAAGATGCAGGTGTTTGTGCTTGAAGTCAATGGCGCCGGCCACTAGGAATCTGGAATACACAGACCTTAGTGAAACTGGTGTCCTTCTGGGTTTCCATTAGACTTAGGACTGTTGTTCTTTTTCCAGCTAAGAAGTCATCCCCAGAACCACTGGCAGCCCAGTGGGGCTTCCTGCAAGTTGGCCAATGGCCTGCACTGCCCAGACTCAATCTGCTCTCAGCTCTATGGGGTTACTCTGGGGGACTGGTAACCTGCACAATTCCTCACAACTTCCTTCACTCTTCTATGATCTTCCTTCCTGTCCCAAGCTTGTCTTCTATCGTTTTCCTTCCTGTTCCCACCCCAATCCACCCTGGGGATGGCTACATGTTAGTCAAATATGACGGCGCTGTGTGGTCCCCTCTGGGTGTTCCTGTCATTACAATACAGGTGTGAAACCAGCCATAACCCGGGAGGAATGACACTGAACTGATTTACCAGACTGATCATCAAAATCGATTCTTAACACATAAATCATGAGTCAAGTCATTTTTGTTTTACCCAGAAAGCTGTGGGCAGGTTTATCCTCCACCACACGGATCCTCCGAGCTCCAGCAGGAATGATGGCAGCTTCGATATAACCTGTAGCAACAAATGACATAGAGGTAAACCACACCTCCACCCTGCACCAGAGGCCACGCAGCATGCCCCGGCCAAAATCTAGCTACCGAGCCCCCGACAGTGGCTTCAGAAATGGAGGGCTGGTGCAGCTCTGAGAAATCGAGAGAGCCAAAGAAGGAGGCAGCTCTCCTAAGGCCAGAATCTCCCGGCGGCCTCATTTCCAGAGAGCAGGATTTGCATGTTTCAGGTTGAGTGGTGTCCCCCTCCTCCGCCCTCCCCACCCCCCGCCCCGGCAACCAGAACATCAGCATGTGACCACTGCAGACACATTAAGATGACGTCATCCACGAGTAGGTGGGCCTAATCCAATATTACTGATGTCCTTATAAAAAGGGGAAGTTTGGACACAGACATGCACACAAGGAGAATGTCACGAGAACACAAAGGCAGAGATGAAGTGATGTTTCTACAAAGCAGCCAAGGAACGCCAAAGACTGCCAGCAAACCACCGGAAGTTAGGCAAGAGGCATGGAACAGATCCTCCCTCGTGACCTGCAGAAGGATCCAACCCTGCTGACGCCCTGATCTCAGATTTCTCACCTCCAGAACCAAAAGACAGAAAGTTTCTGTTGCTTATGCCACCTAGTTTGTGGCACTTTGTTATGGAAACCATAGCAAATGAATACAGCCTGGTATTCTATGTGAATGGCACTCCCTGGAGCATCAGTGAAAAGTGGCCCTGGTCTCATTCATCTGCTGGAGGGCCTTTTTCTCTTTGTTGTATTTTGAACTTCCCTGAATATCCATGGGATGACAGCAGAAACCAAGCAATTTGCCCTATGACAAAACTACAGTATTGCCTTAAACACGGTGCACTGTTTCTTGCTTCCGCCGTCTTTGGCCATTTCTGCAGCTATCACACTTGTATAGTTTTGTCCATTTCCTTGCATATTTTTAAGAAGAGTAGGGGGCCAGAACAGCAGGTGGGCAGTGAGGACATGATTGAAGCTGCCAGGGCAGAAGCTGGCAACTGGCTGATGCCTGGTTAATGGGGCGACTGCCAATAAATGAGCCCAACATGACGGTGAGACTCTGAAATGTAGGCTGGTAATAATCTTGGTTTGATTTTTATTTGGAATTTAGACAAGAGTATTAGGCATTTGTTTCTGCAATTTAGATGAGGATCTCAACTTAGATTACAAATCCTAGCTGTGTTGTTCCCAATGTGATCATCAGAATCATGAGTGGAGCTGTAAAAAATTAGAAATTTCTAGGTTCAACTATGTGCAGATCATGGAAATACCTATTTTGAGGGGTTTATTTACTTATTCATTCATTTTCTCACAATAAAATGGCTTTATTTTTATTATCAAAATAGTATACAAAAGTTCAAACAACATACAGCAGAAATCCAGAATTGACCTATACTACATCGCAATGAGAAAATTACCCCAAGAAAGTAATATTTTGACCAGCCTTTTCAACATCTCTTAATGCATATAAACATACACATATCATTTTATATGAACAGAATATTATACGTACTTTTAAAAGAACAGTATTATACAACTTCAAAATAATTAGTTTTGCTAGGTAACGTATGTCTAAGGTACAGAATTCAAAAATTATATATGGATAAAGTAGAAAGTATATTGATCTATAGGCTATATGAGGCATTCTATAGCCAGCTACATTTTTTAAACTATTTATAGTAATTTGTATATTGTGGCCGAGTTTCTACATAGCTAACTTAACATCTGCTAATATGACAGTTCTGTTTCTTCCTTTCTAGTCTTTATGCCTTTAATTTCTTTTTTACTATTCTGGTTGCAACTTACAAAACCACATTGTAAGGAAAATGAGATTGTGACATCCTTGTGTAATTCATGATGTCACAGGAATGCTTCCAAAGTTTTCCCACTGAAAGAGATTGCTACTGTGAGAATAGGATAGGTATCATTAATCATTTATCTGGTTAGGGACATTCTCTTTTTTGTTTAAATTTTACTTTAAGTTCTGGGATACATGTGCTGAACGTGTAGGTTTGTTACATAGGTATACATGTGCCACGGTGGTTTGCTGCACCCATCAACCCATCATCTAGGTTTTAAGCCCTGCATGCATTAGGTATTTGTCCTAATGCTCTCCCTCCCCTTTTCCCCCATCCCCTGACAGGCCCCAGTATGTGATGTTCCCTTCCCTGTGTCCATGAATTCTCATTGTTCAACTCCCACTTATGAGTAAGAACATGTGGTGTTTGGTTTTCTGTTCCCGTGTTAGTTTGCTGAAAATGATGGTTTCCACCTTCATCCATGTCCCTGCAAAGGACATGAACTCATTCTTTTTTATGGCTGCATAGTATTCCATGGTGTATGTGTGTCAAATTTTCTTTATCCAGTCTATCACTGATGGGAATTTGGGTTGGTTCCAAGTCTTTGCTATTGTAAACAGTGCCGTAATAAACATATGTGGGGACATTCTCTTTTTGAATACTTAGTGTGCTAACAGTTTTTATCATGAAGAGGTATTAAAGTTAATAAAATGTTTTTGTACATCTACTGAAATCATCATACTGTTTTTCTCCCAAACCATACCAAGACCTCAGAGTTGAACTGTGATCACACTTGTCATGGCTTAGATGGTACATGGATCCATGTCTTAGCTTTTTTAAAAAAATTATTTCATACATGTGGTGTTTGCTTAGTTTTACATAAACATTTATCATTTTTTTCCCTCACCATTTCTTCCCCATATCAGACCATGCTTCTGGTATCTTTTTTTCTTCCTTAAATCCATGTGAAGGTCCTTTAGTGTAGGTCTCTTGGTTGTTGTAAACTCTCTGGCTTTGTTTATCTATAAATGTCTTCATTGACATTCTCTTGGTTTTGAGAAATGGTGTTCTTGGGCATTTGATTCTAAATTGATTGTTATTTTCCTTCAACACTTGAAATATACTTTTCCACTGTCTTCTGGCTTCCCTTATGATATTAAGAAGGCAGTCATCATTCTTAGTGTCGTTCCTTTCTAAGTGGCCTGTCTCAGCGATACTCCTTGGTGTTCTGCAGTTTCACCAAGACATTTCTGAGCACGGATAATGGGGAAATACCGGTTGTCAAATTTCTCCAGTCACATTTTACCTTTAACGTCTAAGAACTATTAGACTACTTATAGTTTTGTATCAACGTTTCTTGGGACACAAAGCTATATTATTAATATGGTTTTTTTTTTCTGATCTATTTGGTTTTCTTTTGAACATCAGAGTATACATGTTTATCTCTTTTGTCTTCTGCAGTGCTTATTTTATCTTTTATTTTTTATTTACCCTGCTTGGATTACTTTGTGCTTCCCAGGTTAGATCAGATCGATCCCTTGCATTGTTTCCTACCTTTTATCTTTTAACTGTTTATTAATTTGTACAAAAACAATGCAACTGGTTTCTATGTATTAATTTTGTACCCAACTTCCTGAATCCTCTTATAATTGTCATATTTTCAAGGTTAATTCTCTTAGGTTTTCAAGATAAATAATAATATCACAATAATATCTACCACAGTAATAGTTTTACTCTTTTGAAATGTTTATGGTATAAATATATATATTTCTCTCCCATTCAAGCACTAACCAGACCTGACTTAAGCTTAGCTTCTGAGATCAGACACATTCAGGGTGGTGTGGCCGTAGTTATTTTTCTTTTCTAAATGCATTGGTGAGCACCACCAGAAAAATGTTAAATATTCCTGGAGAGAATGTACACCCTTGTTTTGTGTTTGATTACAACAAGAATGCTTATAGTGTTTCACTGTTGAATATAATGTGGGCTTACAGTTATATATAATATCTCATATATAACATACTTTATGGATAATATAATCGTATTAAAGGCATATACGTTATTCTCATATTAAGAGTTTTGTCAGGAATAAAGGTTGAATTTTCCTGCATGCCTTTTCAGCATCTAAGTGCATAGTTTCCTCTTGCTCTCACACCTTGTTCTATTAATAGTATAATTATATGAATATATTTTCTAATATAAAACCATCTTCATATCTCAGAATAAACCTTACTTGGCCATAGCATATAATTTTAATATGCTGCTGAATTGTTTGCTAATATTTAGAACTTTTGCAACATTATTCCTAAGAAGGCTCCGCAATTGTTATTATGCTTTCTTTGTTGGATTTGGTTTTGGTATCAATATTATTCTTGCTTTAATTAGGAGTATTTCGATGCTTCTATAACTTACCTGTGTTGATTTTATGTAGAGTCACAATTGGGAAATTATTTTTTCAATCATTCATTTCAAACAGGTTTTAAACTTATTTACAGAACCGAGCAAGGTAATCTCTTATGATTTATTAATTTCCTTTATACTTTATTTCCCTATTCGCTATTATTTTACATATTTGTACTTTCCTACCCCCATTTGGTTCATTAAATGAGCAAACAGTGGAGCTGTATACTATTTAGTTGGATTTCTTCATCCTGTCCCTTACCAATAAATTCTAGTTGTTGTTTCTGTTTTATTGAATGTTTTTCCATAGGCCTGTATATTTATACTTCTACTGTGTAACTTATCAGATGTAATTTAGTCCCTGGATATTACAAAACAAGGAAATGAGAATAATTACAGTACATTCTACTTTCTCACATCCCATTTCAACTTTTATTGTGTCATTTTGACATTGTATTAGTTTGTAACATTTACTTTTTACTAAGGTAATTCCTATAGTTGTTTTAGTTTTAATCCTAAAAAGGAATTTAATGTTTGTTATGCATTCTTCTGCCAGTTTCTCTAATAAATTCTTGCTTGCCTCAAATTTGCTCCCTTTGAGATGGACTTATGGGAATTATATTTTCTGAAATATAATACTATATAGCAAAAAATAATTGTTCATTGTCCTTATCCTTGAATGTCAGTTTGGCTGCTATAACATGTTGGGGTCATACTTACTTTCTCTGAGGCTGTTGTATGAGTGGCTCCATAAAATGTGACCATGGAGAAGTCTAAGGACTGCTGGTTA